GCTCACTGCTCAGTGGGGAATCTGCTTCTCCTTCTCCCTCTGCCTCTCCATGTTTGCTCCCTCTCCCTCTCTCTGTCAAATAAATAAAATCTTTTAAAAAATGCAAGAATAGCTAGGAAATTCCTGAAAAAATTAACTATCATGGAAAGTAGCCTATCAAATATTAAAATAAGCTCATGGGGCACCTGGGTGGTACATTTGGTTAAGCTTCCGACTCTTGGTTTTGGCTCAGGTGTGATCTCACTGTGGTGAGGTTGAGCCCCACGTGGGGATCCCCACTAAGCAGGAAGTCTGCCTGAGATTCCCTCTCTGTGTGCACTCTTGTTCTCTCTCTCTTTTTTTTTTTTTTTAAGATTTTTATTTATTTATTTGACAGAGAGAGATCACACGCAGACTGGCCAGAGAGGCAGGCAGAGAGAGAGAGGGAAGCAGGATCCCTGCCGAGCAGAGAGCCCGATGCGGGGCTCGATCCCAGGACCCTGAGATCATGACCTGAGCCGAAGGCAGCGGCTTAACCCACTGAGCCACCCAGGCGCCCACTCTTGTTCTCTCTTTAAAATAAATAAGTAAATCTTTTATTTATACACACACACACACACACTCATAAGTGTCTATAATTCATTGTGATACTGGTACATAAATGATAGGTCAGTGGAATGTAACAAAATCCAGAAGTTGACCCACTCTTTATGGAAATTTAGTGTATAATAAAGGTAGTATTTTTTTTTAAGATTTTGTTTATTTATTTATTTGACAGAGAGAGAGAGATCACAAGTAGGCAGAGAGACAGGCAGAGAGTGAGGGGGAAGCAGGCTTCCCACTGAGCAGAGAGCCCGATGCAGGACCCTGAGATCATGACCTGAGCTGAAGGCAGAAGCTTAACCCACTGAGCCACCCAGGCACCCATAAAGATAGTATTTTGAATGGGGGGTAGGGGGGCAAAGGTTGATGTTTTAGTAAATGTTGCTGGGATAATTGGATAGATATTTGGAAAAAGATGAAATTAAATCTGTTCCTCACACTATATACAATCCTGTCTGCCCTTCAGAGTTTACATTCTAAAGTGGGCTGGGGGAGACAATAAAGTAAATAAATTACACGTATAATAAAAAATGTTAAGTGCTAGGAGAAAGGTACATGATGAAGGAGAATAGGGTAAGAGAAAGTAAGGTTCAAAGTTTGCATTTACAATATTTAAAAGTAGGTAGGGGCAGAAAAGTCTTCACTGATATGAATATTAGCATTTGAATGAAGACTTGATAACATGGTGCAAGCCATGTACATAGACTTCATTCCAAACTAGGAAAGAGCAGAAAATTACAAGCCAATCTCACTCATGAAAATTGACACAAAATGCTGTATAAACCAAATATAGCAACGTGCTCACAAAATTAATGTATCATGATCAACTTGGGTTTATCACAGGAATGTAGGTTTGGTTTAACATTAGAAAAACATATAAATCTTATTCACCACATCAACAAAATAAAGAGAAAAGATCATTTCGATATAAAAATAATTAAATAAAATGCAGCACTCATTCATGATTTAAAACAGGATAACAGAACAAACATAGCAAACAAAAAACTTACCGAACCACAAATAGAAGCTACATTTGCAAAAAGAGCAACTATCTACATACAGCATCATCATTGTTAGTAGAAACCTTAGAAACATGACCTTTAAAATAGGAAAGAATGTTCAATATTGATGCTTCTACTCATCTGTAAACATTCTCATGAGTACAGTCAGAAAAGAAAGGAAAAAAAAAGCCTAAGAATTAGAAACAAAAAAGTCATTATTCACAGATGATATGATTATACCGTCTCAGCCTCTACAAATTATTATATCCAGCTGGGTATAAGAATAAGATCAATATCAGAAATCAACTGGATTTTTATATACCAGCAATAAGAATAAAATAACAATATAATTGTTATAATATAATATATTTCATTATATTATATGTTATATATAATATAATAATTTATAATATAATATATTATATTATATAATATATAATATATATTATATCATATATATTATAATATAATAAATAAATCTGATAACAGTGAAACCCCCATACACAGAAAAAAAGGACTAACTTTATTGACTGATATTAAAGAAGTTCTAAATAAATGGAAAATATGCTATATTCAAGACTAAGAAGACTTCATTTCCTCAAACTGAGCTCTGGATTCAGTGCAATTCCAATCAAAATCCAAGAGGTTTTTTTTCATGGAACTTAGAAAACAGTTTCTAAAATTTACATGAAAAGAAAAAGTTCAAAAATACACAGAATACTCCTGAAGAAAATAAGGTATGAGACTTGCCCTATTAAATACTAAAGATAGCGCAACCCCATCGGTCCCCTCCCTCCTTGGGAGCTTTGTACTGTCACTTTGCCATTGCTCAATAAACCTTGCTTTGCTGCTCCCCCCCCCCCAAAAAAAAGGATATCAAAGATATAATAAGGCTGGAATGATGAAAACTATGGTTTTGGCACAGGGACACACAGACTGGCCAGTGGAATATGTTAAAGAAGCAAACTCAAAAACATGTAGAAACATCATACGAAGGAACATAGAGCTGTTATGGGGAAAGCACGAACTATTCAAGAAATTGGGTTCCATACAAGGCAAAAAAAAGTAACTGGATCCTACCTTGACACCGAGCACAAAAATCGATTCTAGATTAACAAAGACGTAAAAAATAAAAAATAAAACCTTAAAACCTTTATATTTTTATGACTTCAGAATAAAGATGTTTCTTTGAAAACATACTGGAAAAGTCATAAAGATTAGTATCCAGCATACATAAAGGCTTACAAATCAACAAAAACCCCCAAAATAGATATTTCAAGGAAAAGAACATGCAAATAGCCAATAAGCATAATAAGAGTTTAATCTTCTGAGTGACTGGAGAAATATAAAGCACACCCAAAGTAGTATCATTTTATACCCGATAGAATGGCAAAATTAAGAATATACTAAACAGGGGCACCTGCGTGGCTCAGTGGGTTAAAGCCTCTACCTTCGGTTCAGGTCCTGATCCCAGGGTCCTGGGATCCAGCCCCGCATCGGGCTCTCTGCTCGGTGGGGAGCCTGCTTCTCTCTCTGCCTGCCTCTCTGCCTTGTGATCTCTCTCTCTGTCAAATAAATAAATAAAATCCTAAAAAAAAAAAAAAAAAAAGAATAGACTAAACAATGGGAACTCACTCTGTTGGTGGGGACTAAATTGGAAACAAGTTCACTTACTTATTATCATCCAGTTTATGACCTAGCAACTTCACACCTAGATTCTCTGCAAAAGCTTTAGCACATATGCATGAGATCAGAATTTCATATCGGCATTGTTTATATAGGCTATGCTCTGAAAGCAACCCACATGTAAACGGCCAGGAAAATCAATGAATAAATTGTGGAAAGGAGGAACAATAAAATATTATATGGCAGTGAACATGAAAGAACTATGGCTACACCTGATAATACAGATTTTTCTTAGTGACGGGTGAAGTAAAAAGCGAGTGGAAGGATATTACAAAGAATATGGTACTTTTTTTTTGGTGGTGGGGGGGTACCATCCACGCACAAAAACCAAGCAAGGTTAAGGATACTTGTATGTGGAAACAAAGCTTAGAAAATGTGAGAGACGATGATTTACACAGAATTCAGGATAAGTGAGAAAATATCTCTGACCGGGGAATTGGGGGCGGGAAAGTAATGGGATGGAAGGGATTTCCTGACAAAATGCCAAGAGTTCTTCTGGTAAAATTCTGCTTCACAAATTAGGTCGTGTGTTCCTCGTGTTTCGTAACTTTATATTCTGCACTTTTCAAGTACTATACAAGTTTAAAAAAACAAACAAACAAAAACGGCAGGAACATACCTCAAGAGCCCTAATACCCGCAGGCCACAGCCCGCAAGGCACTCTGGGTAAGCAGTCTCGTGGTTAGTTGTCCGTGGGGGCGGAGACTGTGGGTCTTCTATACGCACGCGCACAGCCACCAGCCAATCAGCGACGCTCTCGGGCGAAGCGGCTCTGGCTTTTCTCCCGCGGGAATTCTGAGTTGCCTCAGAGGAGCGTCGTGCTGGCCAAGCGGACCGGCAACTCAGGTGAGGGGCTGGGGCCGCTGAGGCTGGAGTGGCAGCGACACTGTCTGGAGACCTATACCTGTGGTCTTTGGCCATTGGGGTTTTTTTCATGCGGGAGGAGGGGAGGATTTTTTCTAGCGCGGGCAACAGAGCCAGAGGCTTTTCTGGATCTGTGAGGTAAATCTTTCCGACTGGCTCTACTAGGGGCCTCTGACAGAAAAATGAAGTCAGTGAACTTCACTGAGCTCAGGGCCTGGATCAGGCGAGGGGCAGGTGGAAAGCTGCTGGATGAAAGGGGGTCTCACTGGTCGCGATGCCCTGGGCAAGTTTATATCCGGGGAGCAGAGCGGGCCTTCGTCTGTCTGCACATCTCTCCCTCGCGCCCGCCCTAAACCTGTCAGAAACAGGGTGAACTAAGGGCTTCTCTTCCTTTGTCCTCAATGTCTGTGTTGTGAATATCTTAGGCGGAATTGTTATTTCTCAAGGCACACATTGCAGAACGTTTTTATTTTATTTTTATTTTGCTGTAAACTTATTTTGGGGCATGATCACAGGATCGAACCTGTCAACAACTGCGGTTTCACTTTGTGACGGAAATGCACAAACTAGATTCTTGCCCGAATTTAGCCGGAATCTGACAGAGGCGGGACTGAAATTCAGATCGCGTAGCCCTCAGATACCAACTCTCCGTCTCCTCACACCTGGAATCAGGGTCGGTGCTGTCATTATCTTCTTTGTTAATTTGGGCCAACAAAATAAGTGAGGAGATTCCTCTTTATTTGATATAGTTAATTATGAAATTTACCAGTTTACTTAAATGGTGTCTTTGGATTCAGAAGGTTTGAGATATATATATATATATATATATTTTTTTTTTTTTTTTTTTAAATCAGAAAACATCTAAATATGGTGCCCTCTGGAAGAAAACATGCAGGGAAATCTGGGAAGACATCAATGGAGGATCAGGTTGTAAGAGCCTATGACTTTGAGAAGGAAGATAAAAAAGATCTGAGTGGTTCAGAGGAGGATGTTACCGAAGGTACAGTATATCTAATGTTGTTGGGCAGTGACCCTGTCCTGTAGTTCATTCCTTCCGGATGCACTACATTTTAGACTATAATAAAACTTTATTCATGTACTTCATGTTTCCCATTTGGAGCTTGAAAAGTTTACACAGCATCTCTTTCCTTTACAGTTATTATTCTCCAGATGTCTGTTCGTAAATAAGTAAATGAGTTTTATATAGCATAAATATCTGTATTATATAAAAACAAATAAAAACCTGGCTTACTATGACATTAACACAGGAAGGCTTGCAAAATTGTTCCTATAAAATGGTCCTAGATCCTGATTTAATCCTATCTAAACTGCAGAGCAAGTACTGTATTTATATGTCTGCTTTAAAAAGTTACGTTGGCAGAAAAACCTGAAAGCCTCCAAATTAAGATAGTTCATCATTAAAAATTACCAAAATGGAATAGTTTCAAAAATATTTTTCTTTTTTATTGTCAATGCAGGGAAGACTCCAGTAATTGAGAAGCATGGGAAGAAAAGGACTTCTGCAGCAGTGTTTGAAGATATGGGGTGATGTGCTCAAAATAATTTTTGCATGTTACATAAACTAAGAAAAGTCTACTTTGGTTGTCCAATGAATATTGTATGTAAAACACATTGTGTGATATTTCAATCCTTAATTAAAAAATTTCTAATGTAATTTCACAGGGGTGAAGTACAAAATATGCTGGAAAGATTTGGAGGTATGTTTTAAGAGCTATTTTTCTTTTAAGATAATTATTTTAAACTGTGTAACATATAACCTCTGTAATAAGAAATGTTAATCAGTGAACTATAAGATTGTTAATCTAATGCTTGTCCTCATATATAAGATTTTCCCTAAGTATGTGTGATTCAACTATATAGATTTCCTTACCTAATCTCCAGTTGTCAATGCGAAGAGTAAGAATGGTATTAACAATGGTGAGGTAAGAATGGTGTTTTTATTTTATATATGTGTGAATTTAATGGACTGTGCAATTTTAGAACAAAAATGGAAGGGGAAAGTCTCTACTCCTGTTTATATGAACTTCCACAAACTCACAAAGCAAGTGTTAAAAACACACATATCTGTATATATGTCAGTTTTTCATTTTCTCAATTTAGTTATTTTCTATGACATTGCTGTGTTCTTTTCTTAGGAGCAGTATAAACTGAACCCTTTAAAATACCTCTTTATTGTTATTTTTTACTTTATTAAACTATGTCATTTAGAAAGGTAACCCTGCTAGCTAGTGAGAAATATATAATCAGACAAAAAGTTTATAAACCTTAAATGGTATATTTAATATTAGTTACATTAACTGTGTTAGGGGATAGTGTTCTTTTTTTTAAAGGATTTTATTTATTTGAGAGAGAGCGCGTGCGCACATGGGCTCGCGCATGCATGAGCCAGGGGAGGGGCCACAGGGAGAGGGAGAGAGAAGCAGACTCCCTGCCGAGCAGGAAGCCCAACACAATGTGGCCTAGATCCCAGGTCCTGGAGATTGACCTGAGCCAAAGGGGACATTTAACCAACTGAGCATCCAGGTGCCCCCAGGGAATAGTATTCTTAAAAAAGAACAATATTTGGTTCCTCTATATGGATTATGTACTCAGTCAAGTCTTTTTTGAAAGCATTGCTCTATTTGGTGGTAGAAAAATGTTTGTTTTATAATCTGTCTTCTAAATTTATCATAGGTATATACTGGAAATATGAAATATTTGTATAATAATACAGATCCATCGTGATTACTGAAAAAAATAATTATTGATGGTAGATTCATATGCAAGTATTTAGCAAAGCAGTTTTATAGGACAAAAATGTCTTATAAAAAGCTCCAGAAATCATTGTCATAAACCTGAAACTAATCTATAACATTGTGTGTCAACTATACTTCAGTAAGAAAAAAATTTTCTTTTAGTAAGTCCAGGGAAAAAAAAGATTCCATGGAAATATTTAAAAGGGTACTTGAGTGAATTTATCAAGATACTTACTTAAATTAAGGTTTTTCTATGCTTGGTTTTTATCTCTTTTGGTAAAAATTATATTTGAAAGTATCACAGATTATATTTTTTAAAAAATAATTTTCTTACTTAACTGTTTTTATTCTTTTTGGATTCTTTTTAGATTTTTAAATTTATTTATTTGTATGAGAGAGAGAACAAAAGGGGAAGGGAAGATGGCAGAGAGAGAAACAGACTCCCCACTCAGCAGGGAGCTGTGATGCAGGACTCCATCCCAGGACCCTGTGATCATGACCTGAGCCCAAGGCAGACACTTGACTGAGCCACTGTCCCTTTTTGTATTCTTTTAAAATTTGTGTGTTTCATATGATGAGTTCTAGCAATAACTCATATAAATGAGTTCTTTCAGTTAGAGAATATTTTACAAATTCAGAAAAATTTAGCCTTTATTAGTGTTTTCTCCTGAGGAAGTTAAAGGTCTGTCTTTGAGACTCCCCTTTCTTTTTTCATGTTTAGTTTTTTTTCAATCATCTCTAAATTAAAAAATTAGCTCTAGGAAAATCAAAATAGGGATACTAATTGCCAAAAACTTTCTTAGGAAAAAAAGCAAATAATCTTGGCTTTTTAATATTATACCTACTTTAAGATTTAATTTATTTTTTTTAAGATTTTATTTATTTATTTGTCAGAGAAAGAGAGAGATTGAGAGAGAGAGCACAAGCAGGGAGAGCAGCAGTCAGAGGGAGAGGCAGTCTCCCTGATTAGCAAGGAGCCTTAATACAGGACTCAATCCCAGGATCATGACCTGAGCTGAACACAGAGGTTTAACCTACTGAGCCACCTAGGCATCCCTAAGATTTATTTTTAAATGTCTTTCCAAAACTGTTGAACCACCTGTACCTCTATTTAATTTAAATATGTGGGAACAAAATAATTTTCAATATTAAGCTTTAATGAATGTTTATTTTCAATAAAGCTGACATTAACAAGGCTCTTCTTGCCAAGAGAAAAAGACTAGAATTGTATACCAAAGCTTCTCTCAAAACTAGTAACCAGAAAATTGAACATGTTTGGAAAACCCAGCAAGAGCAAAGGTAAGGTTGTTGGTTTTTTCACAGCCATGACATTGTATCATTTCTTAGTATTCATTGCTGCAAATTATGAAAAATACTGTCATCTTCTATTTGCCAGGGTCTCTAGTAAAATATATATTTGGCTTGATTTTCCATTAAGTCCTTTAGTTCTATAACCTTCTTCATAGACTTGAGATATATTTCTTAGAAATCAATGCAGGTTATCTTTTCCTCCATTTAAATAACAACTGAGTTTTTTAAAGGTTATTCATATTCATTCTAGAAATACGCCAACTGAATAAAAATTGTCATATAAATTATTAGCCTTATGAGAGTTACCTATTTAACAATGTAGAAAAAGATCCGTCTTAATGTAAATACTACATCTGTGTGTTTTAGCTGAATCGACTTAATTGTTCTTTTTTACAAAATCATTCTTGTACCAAAATGGGGAAAAATTAAGTGGAATATTTCTATTTGGAAATCTTACATGATAAACATAACTTCACTGAATCTATTTATCATATCAGAACCTATATTTGGTTGGCAAAAATAAAAAAACTTCTTAGAGATGAAATGGACCTTTCTGGAAAAATTATGTGTATAGTAAAACTTCCATAGTTTTTAAGAACTGAATCATGTGAGAGGGCTTTTCTGTTAGCTGGTTAGAAAAAGAAGTACTTCCAAAATCATAAAATTTTACTTTTTGGTTTCATATTTGAAAATTTAAGATGCCATTATTTCCTTCTGTAGTACTTATAAAGTATGTCAAATTTTGTTTTGAATGTTTTGGTATAAAATATGAAAAATTCACTGTTATGTTTTACAGGCAGAAGCTTAACCAAGAATATTCTCAGCAATTTCTGACTTTGTTTCAGCAGTGGGATATAGATGTGCAGAAAGCTGAGGAACAAGAAGAAAAACTAGCTGTTAGTATCACGCTTAATTTTATAATCAATTACAACCAAGTGTCAAGTAGAAATGGAGAGCCTAGCTATGTGGTAGATCTGTGATAGCTTGGTTTCATTTCCCATGCTGGCTATGTGTTTTGTTCCTGCTGAATGGTAAGCCAGAGAATTACGGGCACATACCCTACTTACAAAAGCTGTTGGCCTTTGCTTCCAATATTGGTTGTGATTCTTGCAGTTCCAAAGTGACGGAAATTGTGAAAGTACAAAGGAAGGATTATTAGTTTATATAAAAGAAGTCCAGGGGTAGTTTAGCTTCAGGCATAGCTGAATGGGTGTAAGGAAGCACTGCTTATATAGTGTCTTTGGGCTCTGTCTCCAGTCCTTAATAGGCCCTTTCAATGTGGTAAGCAAGATAGCTTCTTGCAATTTAAACTTGCTACAAGCTTGGTAACTGGTTTTTTATCAAAAACTGGCAGAAAGAAAAGTCCTGTGGAGGAATGTCACTGATCTAGTTTGGATCATTTGCCCATTCCTGAACCAGTCATTATGGTCAAAGCATGGTTTACTCTTACTGGCCAGACTTGAGTTTCATGCCCATCTCTATGGGAGGTGGAAGTGAGCCCCACCCATATATATGCAACTACATTAACTATCCTTTTATTTCATTCTTTAATTTATTAACTTATCACACATTTCTTATTTAAGAGCTCAGGTACTATTCATGTTAAATGATTTTAGGGGTTGTTTGGTCAGCTCAGTTTTGGAAATGTTAATATGAAACATCCAAGGGGATGTGTTGAGTAGGCCATTGGTATAGGTGTCTGGAGTTCTGGAAAGAGATATGAATTGAACATACAAAGTTGGGAATTCTCAACATAAAGACAGCATTTAAGGCATGAGTTGGACGAGATCACCAAGTGAGTGATTGTAAATGTAAAAGGAGGTCTAAGGATTGAGCTCTGGAATAAGTACTTCAATGTTTAGAGTTCAAGAAGATGAGAGAGAACCAGTAAAAGAGACTGAGAATGAGTGGCCTATAATAGGTGGGGGATAAAATGACTCCAAGTGAAGTCAAGAAAGCCTTTTAAAAGGGAGAGAGGATTAGCTTTGTCATATGCTCCTTATGGGTGAAATAGGAGGGGATTTGGCAATGTGAAGGTTGTTGGTGTTCTTTTTTTTTTTTTTTAAAGATTTTTTATTTATTTATTTGTCAGAGAGAGAGAGGGAGAGAGAGCAAGCACAGGCAGACAGAACGGCAGGCAGAGGCAGAGGGAGAAGCAGGCTCCCCGATGAGCAAGGAGCCCGATGTGGGACTCGATCCCAGGACGCCGGGATCATGACCTGAGCCGAAGGCAGCTGCCCAACCAACTGAGCCACCCAGGCGTCCCTTTTTTTTTTTTTTAAAGATTTTTTATTGGTTGTTGGTGTTCTTGAGCAGAATTATTTTGGTAGAAAAGGGAGTGCAAAAACTTGATTAGAATGCATGTAAGAGGGGCGCCTGGGTGGCTCAGTGGGTTAAACCTCTGCCTTCGGCTCAGGTCATGATGTCAGGGTCCTGCGATCAAGCCCTGTATCAGGCTCTCTGCTCAGCAGGGAGCCTGCTCCCCGCCCCCCCACCTGCCTTTCTGCCTACTTGTGATCTATCAAATAAACAAAAATCTTAAAAAAAAAAAAAAGAATGTATGTAAGAGAGAATAGGAAAGAAAGAAACAGAGTTGTTGGCCTGAGTAGAAAAGGAATAGTGTGTGGTTTTAAGAATGGAGAAAGAGCAACACGTTTGTGTGCAACAAGAATAATCTTGAGCGAAAAATAAAAAGTAATGGAAAGAGGAGGACAGTTGTTGAATTCTTAAGAATGGTTGGAACATGTGAAGAAATTGGTGGTAGCAATTGTGATGAACAGGGATAGTTCATCCTTAAAAACGGAAGAAGGTGGAGTATGTGAGCACAGGTGTAGGTGCATAGGTAGAAATAGTGATAGATACTCAAAGTTCTCTTTGGATTACTTATATTTCTCTAGTGAAATAATTAAGGTCCTTGGATGATAGAAAACATGTTGCTTTTTGAGGTCAAATGAGAAGGTATAAAATATTTTCCTGAGTGGATCAGCAAATGGACTAGGGAAATAAAATTTCCAAGCAGCATTAAGGGTCAAATTTAGGCTTGTGATCACAGTGATCATAATTTAAAGTGAGGTGTGTCAGCATAATTGTGGGGTTTTCTCCAGTCATGACCAGCTGCAGGGGTGTAGGCAGAATAGCTGGAGCATTGAATTTTTCAGGATTGGGGTTTAGCCAAACAAGTGTGACAGAGTAAAAATTGGGCAGGATATATATACTCCTTTCATTTGAAAGGAGTAATTATGATTGACCATATAATTTAAGCTGGGAAGGAAGAAAGTGAGGACATAGGAATATGGATGGGGGATAGTGAAAACTAGGTATAGGATGAGTGAATTTTACGTATTGATAGAAATTATTGAGTTGTAGTACTAAGAGTGTACCAAGTACTAAGTATGAAGAGTACTTGGTAAGCAAGTAGTGGTTGGATAGTGGGCTATATGGAGAAACAGCATGAATAATGATTAGATCTGGATTCTGGAAACATACTCTGGAATTATCCTGGTATGACCAAACACTGGCTGTGAAACTGGAAAAATTATCTATGTGCCTCACTTTCCTTATCTATGAAAGGGGAGTAATAATACCTATCTCATAGAGTTGTTTCAAGGATGAAATTAGTTCATACATAATATGTTAAAGAGTTCAGAGTGTTATCTAACAGAGTTAATATGACATCTTCTACTATTAGTACTATGTAGAAGTTGTAGTTACTGGCAATGACAAAATCTAGGATATAAGCATGTATGTGAATGGCTGAAGTAGGGTGGGGGACAAAAACCATTGGTGGAAAGTAGGAACTGAAACATCAGCATTATTGGAAGGTTCATTATGTGTTGATATGGAAAGCACCAAGAATTAAAACATATTTTGAGTATTGTTGGGTTGCCTGGGTGGCTCAGTCAGGTAAGCGTCCGACTCTTCTTTTTTTGGGGAGGGTGTAAGACTATTTATTTGTCAGAGAGTGAGCAAGAAAGCACCAGCAGGGGCAGATGCAGGCAGAAAGGGAGAAGTAGACTCCCTGCTGAGCAAGGAGCCCAATGCAGGACTCCATTCAAGGACCCTGGGATCATGACCCAGGCTGAAGGCCATCACTTAACCAACTGAGCCACTCAGGTGTCCCTAAGCATCTAACTCTCGATTTCAGGGTTGTGAGTTCACATGGAGCCTACATTTAAAAACAAAACCAAAACAGCGTATCTTGAGTATTGTTAAGTGTTCCTACTCAGTGACTGGTAGGATTATTACTGTTGTGTATTAGTGTTGAACTTGGTCATAATAGTTAAAACTGTTGACTTATAAACCATTCCTTTTAAGTTTAATGTAGAATTATTTTTTTACTAAATTTTAAATTATACCGAAATTGTTATAATTTTTTTCTTTTACATTTGTAGAACATGTTTCGACAGCAACAAAAGGTTTTTCAACAATCTAGAATTGTTCAGAGCCAGAGACTGAAAACAATTAGACAGTTATATGAGCAGTTCATAAAGGTCTGTTGTATTTGGTTATGTAATACCTTCTTATATAACATTATATTAGAAGTAGAAGATAATTTTTTCCTTTTAAGGGGAAAAACATTTTGCTTATACATTTTAAATTCTTAACTACTTTCCATTTTGATTTAAGTGTTGAATATATTTTTACAATTCTAATGTTTTTATGGGGAGTCTTCAAACAGGAAATGGTAAATTGGGAATTTTACCTAAATGTACATAATGTGCATAAAATTCATACTTTAATAGTCCTATCTTAACTGAAAATAGAAAGTCTGTAAGTCATTTCTAGGTAGTCTTTTACTTGTCTTTGTATCTCTAGTGTTGGCTAAATAGAAAGTACCCAATTGAAAATGAATAATTTTTTATTTTCTAATGTAATATATATGTATTTTATGGCATATTTCGTTTTAGGATTATTACAGTGACTAAACATGGCTTTATATGGCATCTTATAATCATAAAGCCAGATGATTAAAAACTTGTGGATTAAGAATTATCTGACATATTTTAGCAAATATTAACATATTAGCAAATAACGGTTTGTGGCATTGACCTCTTACTCATGCAGATATATTATTTTTTAGTAACTGTTCATAGGAGTTCATTGTAATCCTACACATACTTTTTTTTTTTTTTTTGATGTGGGGATTCTTTTAGATAATCTTGTTCAAATGTTAAAATGTCACCTTTTTAAAAGAATCAGGATGCTCTGAGTAAACTAGTAGTTTTAGACCAATTATTTTTAAAGAACTTTTAATATGTATTTATACCAAAGTTACTTTTAAAAGTGTTCCCAGTCAGCTTGCTCTAAGGCTGCCTAAAAACCATTTAATTGGTGTTAAGACTGATGAAGTACTAAAGATTTCTTCTAAATCTTATCACTAAATGTTACCACTTAGGCTAGGAACTTTAGTATTGTATTTGACTTCTCCATCTCCCTTATTCTTCATACCCAGTTATTAGTAGGTCAGTAATTTTTACTTCTGCTGTGGTTCCTTTTTTTAATTCCCAGAGCTGTTTTCCTAGTTTATAACCACATCATTCTTTGCTTATCCTGTTAAACCTCAGCTGATTTTTTTCTGTTCTCCAAACTACCCTTCATAGGTCTGTCATATTACTTTCCTAAAACGTCTCTTCTGAAAAAGTCAGTTTCTCATTTTCAGTTCTTATTCAAGTTCCCTCTCATAATATGATTTTCTCTATGCTTCAATTGTTATATTTGTCCGGTAATCCTCACACCTCCAGATAACTGCTTTCTCTAAACTCACTGTGTACTTCCATGCTTTTACTTATGCTCTTGCTCTAAAATACTTTTAATTACTTTTTCTTTATTAAATCTTGCTCTTTTGCCAAATAAATTGGAGTTAGTCCCTATTTTCTACTGCATAGCTACAAGCTGCATTTCCATTCCTCCTATAAAATTTTGCATTATTTTTGTTTCTCCTTACTGGAATAAGGGAGTGATCATGTATTAATATTTTTTATTTTCTCCACAACACTTAATAATATAATACTTTTTATATAGTAGGAGTTAGGATCACTATTTGTTAGGTGAAAAAGATTTATAATGTAATTTGTTTTTCATAAATTGAAAAGAGGTATATTACAGATCATTTTATTTCTCCTTATGAATTCCCATCACACTATTAGTAATAATAACATAACTACCTGATATTTAGAAAGCTTACTAAAAAATTTAAAAATTAAGGTATTCTTTTTTTGTTCTATTTTGACCTTAGCAGCTCATTAACCCAGTATTTCAAGCAAAATACACACTGTTATACCTCCTATAATAATATTTGATCCATGTCTGATGCTTTTATTCCTTTAATGGGTATTTTGGTTTCCAGTATTACTTCGAATATTTTAATTTGGAATAAATAATGCACATTATTTGAATACTAAAAAGTTCCTACTTTTGAAAATTAATTCTACAAGTTTAGAATCTGAGATGAAAAGTGGTAGTTTGTAACTGAACTAGCCTTTTGTGTTTTAGAGTATGGAGGACTTGGAGAAGAATCATGATAGTCTACTTACTGGTGCACAAAATGAACTTAGAAAAGAAATGGCTATGTTGCAAAAAAAAATTATGATGGAAACTGTAAGTCATTACATTTTGAATTGGAAAAAAGGAGTAATGCAAGCATTGAAATATTTTATTTGCTGAAATATGTATAACACTTATCTAAAAATTAAACAAATGTTTAATATTTCCTTTCATGTAACAGCAGCAGCAAGAGATGGCAAGTGTTCGAAAGTCTCTTCAGTCCATGTTATTCTGATGACTCTTTGAAGGAAGAACTTGAACCTAAGTAATATGATACAATTACAACATTAGCTAAGAGGCATGTAATTCTTTTAGAGTGGTTTAAAAATTCTAGTTTAAAATACATCGTGTTAATTGTTAGCTTAAGTGCAAGACCCTTCCTTCTGTTAACCTTCAGATAAAGCTGAGCAGTTATGTGAGTCCAGATCTTTAATAGTAATAGTGAATTTTTCTCTTTAACACTTGTTAATTAACTTTTAGCAATAAAGATGATTTAATTTCAGCTTTTGGCTTCTGTGTATTTGTATTAGTCCCAAAAGTTAGAAAGCACAAGTATAAAAGGTTACATTGTTTTTCTTTAAGGAAAAATATACAAAACTATGTTCTATGTACATTCCACCGTATATACTGAAGTTACACAGCCAATTCCAATGAAAATACGGTTTTAAAAGAAAATCTATTCTATTGACTTACATAATTTATTAAAAGCGACTCAAGTTTGTGTTCTGAAATAAATAAAACTGCCAAAAACTATTAAGAAAACCAAACGATATATAACTATCAGTTTTAAGACATGGATTGGTGAATATGTCATTTCCATAAAGACATCAAAAAGCCATTTAATTGGGCTTGGTCCATAATTAAATGACACATGCCCTTAGTAATTATTAAGATCATATCATTAACATACCTAATTACTTATGGTTTAAATATTTCACATCTGTCTTTAATACCTAGTAAATATTTTGTTTGAAAATATTGTTTGTTTTAATATTCAGTAAATATATGAAGTTTGATTATATTCCTTTCCAAACTTGAATAGTTGACTTCATACCTGTCACTAAAAATGTGCATTTTTTAAAACAGAATAACATATAAAACACTGGGGTTTAGTAAATATTAAACTGTTTCAGCATTTGTTTGAAATATGTCAGCTAAACTTACTATCTTTTGCTGAAATTGCTTTCATTAAATCATTCAAAATGAAAAATATCCCCATTAGGAGGAGAAGATTGATTTTCTCCTGTTTTTTTCATGTTTTAAACTTTAATTTTTACCCCATGACCCACCTTTACCTTAGTTTTAAGGTGTTCCAAGTTTTTAAGCAAGTCCATACTGACTCTCTTTTTTTTAAACTATGATAACTTATATAGGAAGAAATTAATGATTATCTAATATTAAGGAGCCAGTTTCTAAATTTTGTAAAGGACTTCTTTTAAGCCAAAATTTATGCTGGAATCTAAATCTTTTTTTTTTTTTTTTTTGAAGATTTTACTTATTTATTTGACAGAGACACAGAGAAAGAGGGTACACAAGCAGGGGGAGCAGGGGAGGGAGAAGCAGGCTTCCCGCCAAGCAGGGAGCCCAATGTGGGCCTAAATCCCTGGACCCTGGGATCATGACCTGAGCCAAAGGCAGCCACTTAACAACTGAGCCACCCAGGCACCCTTGGTATCTAAATCTTAAGTACCATTCAAACACCTAAAAAAGTCCTATTTGAGTTTGAGTAAAAGTTAGAAACAAAATAAGCACTCCAGAGTGGTTTCTGTGTACTTATTTCACGTATTTTTTCCTTTCAAGGAATATCAACTTTCACTATTTTTTCAATATGCCTTTTTATTGCTTAATATATAGTATGTGTTCATTACTCCTTTATTTTTTTGATTATTTCATCATATGCCTTATGGTCTATAGAACTGTTGGGCAAAATTAAAGATAAGGTAAGATGGGGAGTCTGAGTCACAATGAGCAACATAAACTTTTAAGTGAGAGTGGAAAGATAAGATCAGTACATTATCTATTTAGTGATGGGATGACTGATAATTACATTATCCCCCTTTCCTCATGAGTCATCTATTTGAGGTAACTTTGGTTGTTACTGGAAAGGGAAGATATTTTTGCCATGTTGTCATAAATTACTAATTTTCTTTTTTCTTTTTAGAGATTTATTAGAGAGAGTGAGTGAGAGAGAGAGAGGATGAGGTGGTGGGGGTGGAGGGAGAAAGAGTATAGGGAGAAGGAGAAGCAGGCTTCCACCTGAGCAGGGAACCTGGTGAGTAGGGGCTGATTCCAGAACTCTGGGATCATGACCTGAGCAGAAGGCAGATGCTTAACTGACTGAGCCACCCAGGAGCCCCATAAATCACTAATTTTCTTATATCAACCTTGCTTTAGCTACTTTATGTTTCATAAAAGGGGATCTTTAACGTCCACTTTTTTTTATGACAATGAAATTTTAACTTAGAATATCAAGGAATGATGTATAAAAATTCATTTGCCTTTCTGAACTGGAAGACAAATTCCTCTTACTAAAAAATTATAGAAAATTCTGGTAGCCCCTTTAAATTCTAGTTGCAAGCAAGTATTTCCTTTTATACAATAGTAATTAATATAACTTGAAAAACTGCTAATTAAAAAATACCATTTCTTATAACATCATTTGTTTCAGTAACTACAGTATTACAATCCATGCACTTATGCAGTATTATGAACTCGTCAAATTTTTGCAGTTGAAGTAAGCATCACCCTTAAGATGGCTAAAATCCTTTAAGCCCTGAATTTTTATGTAATCCTTTAGCAATGAAAACCCCGAGTATCTGACAAAGACTTTTGAGACAGAGACTGATCTTTAGAACGACAGTGGTTTACTTTCTTGTCCTCAGAAAATTGAAATATCTTTCTTTGATTTTGTTTCTAAGTTATAGATTGTAATACTCTGATAATACCTGTGATCAAAATGTTGATATACATTGAGGACTTCACAACTGAAATAAACAATGGAATCTATAAGACTTAGTGTTTCATATTCAAATATAACCTTATTTATTGTATACTAGCCTCCTGCAAAGGGGAATTTCCTTCACTCATAGGTTCCCCTAACTGCTTCTCTTTTCCTTGGGCTATTAGTCAATATGCTTGTGAACCTGTTCAGGTGCTTCATGATATGAAGTCTTGAAGATATTTAGATGAAGGTGTCTTGAAATTTGCAGGCACAAAGCACTAAAGTACATCATCATATCAAATGAAGAAACGACCTTTGGAAGCAAAAAAAAAAAAAAAAAAAAGAAAAAAGAAAAAAGAAATGTATTATGGTCTATTTTTCTGTTCCCTCTTCCCACCCCCTGGATCTCACACCTTAATCTAAAATTCCTCAGTGGAAATACTATAATTTCGAGTACTTTCATATATTTCATATTTGGACCTCACTATAATCCTCTGGAACATGCAATGTATTTCACAGTTATAAGAACTGAGGCTCAGAGTGGTAAAACTCCTAGACAAAAATACAAAAGATGGAAGGTAACAAAATTGGTCTTCTGACTCCACATTCTTTAAATTTTCTGCTGTGCAACAAAGCCTAAATTTTCTATTAGAAGGGTTGCTAGTCACTATTAATAAAATCATTCCATCATATACATTTCTTTTTCCTTTGAGATGGTTGTAAGAAAGTAAAGGCCTGGAAAAGACCTTAGTTGAGGGGAGGCATATACAAAATTGTGTTGAATACAAAATTAAAGAGGAAGGCACACTCTAAAAAGTCTACCAAAGACCAGGAGGAAATGCTTCCTTTCAGAGAGGGAAGCTCACAGCTCTACCAGTGGAGAGGGAATTCTCACCTATGAGGGGAAAATCTCCCATATCATTTACCTGAAAAGCTCTATCTGATCCTTTTCTCTCTGAAGTAAGAAGCTTTTGTGTAAGGATGCTGAAGGGCACATATGTTTTGTTTGGTCCACATAAGTGTTTTCTGTTGTTGTTTTAAATTGTGGTCCACATAGTGTTTTAGAGAAAAATTCAATTTGTCTTCCTCACCATAATCTCTACCACTGGCATAAACCAGGCCAACTCACTCACTATAAAATAGATGCTCGAATTTTTAATACCTGGTGTTTTAATTATGTTAAACATAATTAAATTGATAACATATATACAAGCTTAGTAAAAGTAACCCTACATTGAATTTTTGGATATTTTGAATAATCACCCCTATTTCTTACATTGTTTTGGAGCCCTAAAAATATGTATACTGGATAGAAAATTAAAGGAAATTATTCTGATTTTCAAACACTTTTTAGACTATTTCCTGAAAAACTTCCAAGGATTAAGATTTATATCTCACCACCATTTGAAGAATGAAAGACTTCTGAATTGCCATGAATGGATATTAAGCTATTTACTCCAGAAAAAAGAATAATACTATAGAACCTAGTATAAAGAATCATCAGAGGTACTCCTGTGGTCTGTGCGCAGAACAGATATATTTCAAGGCCTAAGTCTAACAAATAGGGTACATTATTCAAACTATCAAGAGATTCACTGAAGGATTTCTTTTAGCACACTTTAATATGTATTTATCTATCACTAACAATTAGGTGCGAGGTCCAAAGGTAGGGGAAAACGGAGCAAAGTTGTTCAGAACCATTATTAACTGAAGACCATAAAGATAATGTCTCAATTAAAAAAAATTGAATAATGCTCCCTTTCCATGTTTGTGATTAAGGTGTTGCCAACAGTGATTTTCTCTTCCTCAGAGCTAGAGCTCTCTTGAGTGCATAATTTTGTGTTTTATAATCATTTTGAGTAGAAACTAATATATATATTATCTGTACCACTTTCTTAAGCTGGACATATTCAATGAGAATTTAACCTTTGCTTGATGAGTCATCATTATTGATATAAGTTATGCACTGTCCTCAAGAGCCAAACAGATATATCAGGTTGCTTACTTCTAGAACAAAATGGTCCCAGAATCCTATAATTGGTAGTACTGTTTTTTTTCTGTTTTGTTTCTTCAATATTAGCCAACAGTTCTTGACACAATAAGGGCCCACATATTCTAACACTAATTCCATCTAATTCACCTGTTACCTGCTATAAGCTCAAAAAATTCTAATAAGCTTGATTAAATAAAAGTCAGACACCTAAAAAAGTATTTGCCGTTCTCTGGGCAGAGTGAAGTGATTTTTGACTTCTTTGTATTGTTTTTGGTGGGGGAGAAAGATCTATTTTTAAGGTACACAATTGGGTTTTTAAGGATTTAAGTTGTTGAAAGCCTAATCTCCAGATAATCTGGGCCATTTCTATACACACACATACACACACACAAAACACAATTCACAGCTTAAAAGGAGTTAATTTTAAATATTCAGAAACATTTACAATATAGACTAGATAGTAAGACTATCTGCTATCTCACTGAAATGACTCTTAAGCATAGGGTTATCTGACATCTATTAAAAATAAATAAAAATCTTAGCAGGAAAGAACTTACCATTGCTATCCAAAGAACAACATACTCGTCTACAAAATTATTAAAGTACTGGTCTAAAAACAAAAGACCTGGGCCAAAAAAGACAGTGTCTTGAAGATACAGTTCACTTTTGGTCATGTGAGCTATCTATAAAAAAGTAAACAAAATAATTTCACTATTAAATTTTAAATATTTTAGCTTTTATTTTTCAGGAAAGAATTATAACTTTAATTCACTGTTAAGACAAAAATAGAGACCATTTTTCTCACATTTAATATGGAAATGCTAATTCTAAAGTTTCTCAAATTCATAACTGGGTAGCTCATTAAAGTTCCCAATATTTAAATTCCTTGATATCAGAAAGCTATAGTTGACAATATAGCTAAACAGCTAATTAAAAGAACTTAGCATACAGAAAAGAAACTATCTCCCTGAATATAACATTGACCCATTCACAGTTTTACTTGGAGCATAAATAGCTAACTATTTATTATAATGATAATGCCATTGAAAACCTACCCATTTTATGAAATAGTTTCCAGCCTTGTATTTGAGGACCAAGTACATTATTTATACCATGAAATATAAATAAAAGAATTTCTTACCACCAATTTCTGTGAAATTTTAGCAAAGACACATCCAAACATAAGGGTATAAAGACAAGGATGCTTTTCAAACACATTAGTTGCTGACTTTTTATAGATCATTATTGCCAATATAATAATTATTCCTATGTGGAGTCCAGGTGACAAGACACTAGTGCCCTAAGGGATAAATCAGAAAATCAGCATCATATTTTAACATTGCATTTATCACAGTGCAAACATTTTCTGAACATCTATTTTGTGTTAGTAATTAAACACCTAAAGAAGAACATAATGGAGTGTATGGACTAAAGGAGTATGTAGACCTTAACTGTGCCTTCAAACTCCCATAAAACCCTAGGGTTACACACAGGTAATATGGTGCCACAGATGTGTGATTTCAATTTTATATATACACACATTTTAAACTACCACTAAAAAATATGACTTATTCTATACCAAATTTTACTATGCTGAAAGCCATCAACATTTGACTGTCAAGTTTACATATTTTTGTGCAGATATTGAAATAAAGCTTTAACCTGCCAATTTTTTACTTATTTTTTAAAATTTTATTTTTAACTTATCTTTACACCCAAAGTGGGGCTTGAACTTATAACCCCAAGATCAAGAGTCACATGCTCTATCAACTAAGCCAGCCAGGCACCCCAACCTCCCAATTTTATAAAATATATTAACGTTACACTGATAGGAAAAGTTTAATTCTGCCCTAGTCTCTCTATATATCAACACCCCTCACTCTTGCCTTTTTTGTGTTTAGACAGCAAATGCTCTTGTGTAACACTGTAAATCCAACCCATTACATTTTTATCCACGTGAATCAGATTCTCTCAGTACTGCTTATCCCAAACAAAATACTGAAATAAATTTGGTATTAAGGTTTACTAAATCTAGAACTACCAATTTAAATATATTTATTAAAATAGCATTATTCTTGTTTATTGTTTATATGTTATATTAGAATTTACTAGAATAATTACTACTAGAATACTACCAGAATTACAGTAGTAAGATTATAAACACAATAAATACTATTATACAAACTATGCATAATAAAATATGTATACTACATATATAGTATATATGTGTATATGATACATATAATAAAATATACATATTATACATAATAAATATGTATATGTTAATAAGTTATAAAAATTTAGACTAATAGTGCTTTTATCTGTATTATGGTTTTGTAGATTTTATTCAAGAAAATCTGCTGCTGAGGATCCTGGGTGGTTCAGTTGGTTAAGTGCCTGCCTTTGGCTCAGATCATGGTCCAGAGGTCCTGGGATTGAACCCTGCATAGAGCTCCTTGCTCAGCAGGGAGTCTGCTTCTCCTACTCCCTCTCTCCCCTGCCCATGCGCTCTCTCTGCTTGCTCTTTCTCTCTCAAGTAAATAATATCTTTTTTAAAAAATGCTAAAAAAAATATGCTGCTAAAAAATATTGGAAAATCACCAGTATAAGAGTTAGAAATCAACCACTTCTTAGTCATAGTGTTTGATTTTTATGTCTTCCTTCAAACATTTATCAATTACTTCTTAATAAAATACTCTCTAAAGTGGACACTGATCCTCACTAAATCTTATTTTCTTTAGTAAATTTCATGTCGCACGTAGTACTCTAATTTATCATCCATGGTCAAGAAACAAGTATTCCTAAGTACCTCACACATAGTACTGTACTGAGGTCAACTGACTATATACCTCAGAAAATCTACTCTTAAAAGGACAGAAATTTTGAACCACAGCACCAAAGAAATCAAGAGAGTAAGCTATAGCCCAAATGATTCTAAAAAGACATTCCAACAATGTTTAAAAAATTTTTTTTTTTCTTTTTCAGTAGGCTCTGGGGCATGGAGCCCAATATAGGGCTTGAATTCACCACCCTAAGATCAAGACCTGAGGGGGGATGGATGCTCAACCAACTGAGCCACCCAGGCACCCCCAACAGTGTTTTGATAAAAAATGACATCACTGGACTGAGTACTTATCTTCTTATGTTTGTCTTAAAGATGACAGGATGGTTCTTAAAAACATAGATATTATGTTTGTTTAGAAGTTGGCAAGAGGGCGCCTGGGTGGCTCAGTGGGTTAAGCCACTGCCTTCGGCTCAGGTCATGATCCCAGGGTCCTGGGATCGAGTCCCGCATCGGGCTCTCTGCTCAGCAGGGAGCCTGCTTCCCTCTCTCTCTCTCTCTCTGCCTGCCTCTGTCTACTGTGATCTCTCTCTGTCAAATAAATAAATAAAATCTTAAAAAAAAAAAAAAAATAAATATAAAAAAAAAAAAAAAGTTGGCAAGAATTCTGACTCCCACATAAAAGTATTGAAGAAGTTTTAAAAAAATAAAAAGATATATATATATATATATATATATATATATATATGAATAAATACAAAAGTATTATAGCATGAGCAAAGTGTAAAAAGAACCCCCAGAAACACAAGGTGTACCTATTCAACATAAGAATTAAGGTTTAAAATTTCACCTTTTAAAATATAAGAATAATTTTTAAAATATATTCCAGTGAAATGTCTGTAACATTTATTTCATGAGTAAAAAAATTGCCCTGTATGTGAAACCATGACCTTTGGCAACTTTCTTGCTATTAAATAAGGAACTCATTTCCTTCTTCTCCTCTCCCCTATTAGTGTAAGGCACAAGAAAACAAATGGCCACTCAATTTTGTACAGTAATGGGACAGTGGATGATTAAACAGGATGTCAGAAAAGTCTACTAAGAAAAAGGCTGAAGAAAGGAAAAATGCTTTATCAGTCAAAACTTTTTTTTTTTAAGACTTTATTTGAGAGAGAGCATGCAAAGGAGAGAGCACAAGCAGAGGGAGCAGCAGCAGGAAGAGGGAGAGGGAGAAGCAGACTCCCTACTTAGCAGGGAGCCCAATGTAAGTCTCCATCCCAGGACCCTGGGATCATGTCCTGAGCAGAAGGCAGCTGCTTAACCACTGAGCCATCCCAAGCACCCCCAGTAAAAACTTTTTAAAATACTTCTTGTATTATGTGTGGTTCCCTTCCCCATTCTTGAACATTGGGATGTTTTTAGTATCTCTGTATCTGATAATAATAAAACTTGTAATAAAATTAATACTAAATGATGATGAAATTAGTATCTTACTGCTATAGTGGATCCATTCTTCCCAACACCACCATGGAGGATAACATGGAAATAATTTGAACAGGAAAATATTGCTCCACCTACTACTCCAAGAACTGGAAAGATCTTCAGTTTTATTTCTAGAATGGGTATCTTTAGGGGTAGAGGAAAGAAATAAATCATTAAGAAAATAAGAATTTCTTTTCCTATTAAATATTAAAGAAACATTATAATATGACCCTATGTGATAAGCTATCCTTTTTCTTATAATCAAATCTTAACTCCTGGATGTACCCTACAGTGGTAACTTTTCTTTTAATGGTTTTATTTATTAAGTGAAAAATGAATCCACCAAATTCAGGGAAGTCTACATAACCGTGATGAAATATTTAATCTCATAAACCTTCATCTGACTTAAACATGAAAAAGGATAGTTCCCTTGAATTTAGTACCTCTAAAAGACTGCATCACAGGAGAAGTCAGACACCATGATCTGCATCATGAATGTGACAAATATCACAATGTGTGTGCATGCAAGAATTTTGTGTAGTTAATATCCAGGATTAAATCTCTAGCAGTATATTTACCTGTTGGTCAATATGCTCTTCAAGAAAACTTCCCAAGGCAGCAAAGGATTTAAAAAACAGTAATAATAAGTTGCCAAAAGCTAGAGGCTAATGCATTTTGAAAACAGGCTATGAAATATTTTACCAACATTTGTGGAAACTACAGATTAACAAATTTAGAAAATCTACATCTAAAATAAGTATTCTTGTTGGTAAAAATAAACAGGTGTGCTTTCCTCCTATGGTATTACCAAAACATTGAATGAAATGATTTTAAGATTAAATTCTTTCCCGTTATAAATAAATCAATTAAATTTAAGACAACAACATCTGACTTAATAACCTAACTGCCTGCCTCTAGGTCAACATTCACCTTTTTTGGGAACCAGCTGAGCAGTGAACATAGAAGACACATCATATCCCTCTAGTGTATTTTAGAGGCCTACAGTAGCATATCTTTGATTCTATTAGTCTTCTAGAATGAGAAGGAATATGAATGGCTTAGGAAATGTACCACTACTTAAAAATATGCTTCAAGTCTGAGCCAGTGATATGAACTGTAATTGGTAATTCTGAAACTATACTACAGGGAAATTTTACTATTTTTTAATAGACAATTTTTAGAGCAATTTTGGATTCATGACAAAATTGTATGGAAAATACATAAACTCCCTATATACTCCCTGCCTCCGCCTCCCAATGCCTCCCCCCGCCCATCAACATGTCCCACCAGAATGTTACATTTGTTGTAATACATGAACCTACACCAATACATCAATATTATCACCCAAAAACTATAGTTCACATAACAGCTTACTCTTGGTGATACATACTTTTTATGAGTTTAGACAAATGCATAATGACAAGTATCCATCATTATAGTATATCACACAGAATAGTTTCACTGCCCTAAAAATACCCTGGGCTTTGTCTATTATTCCTCCATTCCCCATCACCTTTGGTAACTGCTGATCTTTTCACTGTCTCCATTATTTTGCCTTTTCCAGAATGTTATATAGTTGGAATCATATAATATATGTAGTCGCCTTTTCAAATTGGTTTCTTTCACTAAGTAATATGCATATAAGGTCCCTCCATGTCTTTTCATGTCTTGATAGTGCTTTCTTTTCAACATTGAATAATATTCCATTGCCTGTATGTACCATAATTTATCCATTCACCTACTGAAGGACATCTTGGTTGCTTCCAAGTTTTGGCAATTACGAATAAAGCCGCTGTAAACATCCGAGTTCAGGTTTTTGTGTGGACATAAGTTTTCCGCTTATATGGGTAAATATCAAGGAGCACGGTCGCTGGATCCTATGGTAAGAGTATGTTTAGTTTTGTATCTCTTACTATTTTTACTGGAGGTATATATCTGAGTGATTAAAAACACAGAATCTGGAATCTGTCTTCTTAATTCCAGTACTTACTAGCTATGTGTCCTTGGACAAATTACTTAATTATTCTAAGACTTAC